CAGCTTTTGTGCCTAAGGCAGAGCTAGAACTCACGGTCTCCTGCTTTCCAGCCTGGCGCCTTAGCCACTAGACCCAACTGGCGCTCAAAGCTGGCAAGTTCTCAAAGTGGAGCAACGACCTTGATTGAACCAGGCAATTAAGCCGATTAAACCGCTTGTTTTGGTGCCCGCCTGCTCTAGGAGTGGAGCCACAGGGCCTCCTTAAACGGTGGCTGGATCAGGGGGGGTACAGGACCCTCGGCCCAGGAAGGGGGTCCTCGCCTCCCCCTCCGCCTGGCCTCCAGCACCTACCTACCTACCTACCTGCAGCATGTCGAGCAGCCCCTGCCTGCACCCTTCCTCCATGCCGTACTCGTCCACCAGGATGCTGCCCAGGTAGAGGAAGCAGGAGTGCTGATGCTCCTGGTACACGTTCACCATCTGCCGAGGAAAACAGCCGGGACTCAACGGAGGAACGCACAGAGCCGGCAGTGCCGGCCCTATCTGCAGTTGTTAAGCGAGTCACACGGTTGTTAAGTGAATCTGGATTCCCCTATTGCTTGTCAGAAGGTCGCAAAAGGGGGAATCAGGTGACCCCCCCCCCAGGACGCTGCGACCGTCACAAACGTGAGTCGGTTGCCAAGCGTCCGAATTTTGATCGTGTGACCCTGGAGATGAACAATTAACCAGTGGAACTACCTGCCTCCAGAAGCGGTGAATGCGCCAACACTGGAAGTTTTGAAGAAGAGACTGGACAGCCATTGGTCCGAAATGGTGTAGGGTTTCCTGCCTGAGCAGGGGGTTGGACTAGATGACCTCCGAGGTCCCTTCCAACTTTATCATTATTATTATTATTAATTCCCCCCCCCAGTGCCGCTGCAATTTTGAACGGTCACTAAACAAACTGTTGTATTTGTTGTTGTTTTTTTAAAAAAATAACTATCCGAGTCCTCCGTTGCGGGAATGAACGCCGGTGGGCAGAGGGGTGAAAAAGCTCACCTGAGTGACCAGCGGCTGCAGGAGGGCTGCCGACCCCTTGCCGACGCAACGGACGGCGAAACGCAGGCATCGGCAGCAGCGTTCCACGATGCGGTTGTCCGCCCGGTGTTTGTTCAACGTCTCCGAGAGCACCGGCCAAATCTGGGGGAGACCGAGAGGAACGTCAAAAAGGACGATAGGAGGAAGTGCAGTGGACCAGGGGTCTCCAACCTTGAAGACTTCTGGACTTCCACTCCCAGAATTCCCCAGCCATCACACTTGAAGATGGGGGAACTTCAACTCCCAGAATTCCCCAGCCGGCCTGCTTTAAGATGCGGGGACTTCAACTCCCAGAATTCCCCAGCCATCATGCTTTAAGATGGGGGGACTTCAACTCCCAGAATTCCCCAGCCAGCATGCCTTAAGATGGGTGAACCAATTCCCAGAATTCCCCAGCCGGCATGCTTTAAGATGGGTGAACCAATTCCCAGAATTCCCCAGCCGGCATGCTTTAAGATGGGGTGGGGGACTTCAACTCCCAGCATGACTGGCTGAGGAATTCTGGGAGTTGAAGTCCACAAAGTCCATTTGTCTGAAATGGTACAGGTCTCCTGGCTGAGCAGGGGGTGGACTAGATGACCTCCAAGATCCCTTCCAAGAACATCATCATCATCATTATTAAGTTGCCAAGGTTGGAGACACACACCCCCCCCGCAGTGGACGACAGCCCCAAGGGCAAAAACAGACCCTCCGAGACAGGGGTGGGCACTTCATTTCCCAAAGTGCCGTGTATGAAACTGGGACTGCTGTGGAGTGCCAATCTAATAGGGCTGTGAAGGTGCGTAGGTGCACACACACACACACAGACACACACACACACAAAGACAAACACAAGTAAATTGGGAAAAAATATAGCCGTCACTTTCAAACTAAGAGCAACCCACCAGGGCCAGACAGGGACGGCCAAAAGGGCCGGCTGTGGCCCGGGGGGCCATAAAATGCCCAGGTTTGCTCCAACGTGGCCTGGTGGGGGTTTCCCCCCAACCTGGAGCCCTTTAGTGTCGGTCTCCCACTCCAGGTGGGCAATTCTGGCCCCTCTCCAGGTTTTCAGCAGAGGGTGGGGGACACAAACAGGCCGTGCCCTGCTTACCTCTTGGATGACCTTTTGGCACGGATGCGTCTGCCCGTTTTCTACAATGGGGTTGGTGTGCCTGCAGTGGAAGGAGAAATCAAAAGAAAAGGGAACTCTCCAGAAGGAAAGCTGGTTTCAGGCAGGCAGGGAAGGAAGGAGGCGAGGAGGGGGACGCTGGGAATCTTGAGCTGGGTGGTTTTCCTGCAGACGTTGCATGACCCAACTAGGTAACATCATCAGTGCTAGCAGGGAGTGGGGTATGCGGAGAAGAGGAGGAGGAGGACTGTGGGGTCCTTGGCGCTCTCTGAGCTGGGTGGTTTTCCTGCAGACATTTCATGACCCAACTGGGTAAGCATCAGTGCTAGGGAGGGAGTAGGGTATGCGGAGAAGAGGAGGAGGAGGAGGAGGAGGAGGAGGAGGAGGAGGAGGAGGAGGACGACGACGACGACGACGACGACGACGACGACTGTGAGGTCCTTGGTGCTCTCTGAGCTTGCTGGTTTTCTTGCAGACATTTCATTACCTGACTAGGTAACATCATCAGTGCTAGAAGGGAGGAGGGTTTGTGGAGAGGAGGAGGAGGA